ACTATACATCCCCAAAACAAACTGTAAGACTCTCGGAGATCGGGCTTTCGCACATGCTGCTCCACAATTATGGAATTCTCTGCCTCTGGATGTCAGGAACTGTGAAAACATTTCTGTGTTTAAGAAACGCTTGAAAATATTTCTTTTCAATAAGGCTTATAACCCTTTATAGGTTGAGACCATATTGGATTCTATCATTCTTATTATAGATACATACATTAATGTATATTCTAATTGTATACAATACCATGTTTTATATAGCATATTTAATTCTTAATATATTTAGATTTTTATAATGTACAGCGCTTCGAGTATATAATATAACCTATGCGCTTTATTTAAATGAATAAATTATTATATTATTATTAAATACAGTATTGCGGCTTTTCTAATACGACATTATTTACCTTAATTATTAATTAACAATTATTCGCCGAAGGCGAGGTGATGATCGGGGAATATTCGCCGAGACGAAGTCGAGGTGAATATTTATCATTTATAGACCTGGAGCGAGGGGGATTCGGCGAAATATTACCCGAAGTGATGATAAAGGAAATATCATTACTGAGGGTAATATTTTGCCTAATCCCCCGAGCGGAGGGTCTATAAATGATATATTATACCGAAAATTAAAAGCCTCCAAGTTGAAAATTAAAAACTTGACACATACCTTCGTGAATACGATGTTTTATTTTCGGATTAACGCAAGTATCGTCGCTTTTCTTTCGAATCACATATCGTTTGGAATATTAATGACAGCATTTTTCAAAATTTGCTTCAAAATTTTGAAAAAGCCCCAGGTTTTACGTTTAAAATTTGATTATTCATCACCATTAATACTATTTATATTTTGTCGGCCATGTTGTTGTCATGCGTGTTGTCTCGCGTGGTCTACGCGAATAATGTTCCACCCCATGTTCCCCGGGGAACACGGGGTGGAACATTGTCAAAAGGAACGCAGGCTCGCTAATTGATGACGTAAGGCGTGATATCGCGATTAATTTCATGCTCACGTGGCACAAACTTCGCTACCTGATTGGACAATTTGAATTTCAGGTATAATATTCCCCGATAATCACCGAGCCTGAGGCGAATAATTGTTTTAGTATTTTTACACAAGCTTTTGTGTTTTTTGAGACTGAATTTGTTTTCATTTCGCTTAATTCTTTGTCAGTAAACTTCCACAAAACGGATAGCCGCCATTTTGAAAATTTCTGTTTTGTTACATTCACCTGTAGGTGAACAATTATCACTTATTTACTGAGACCGAGGGAAACAGTGTGTTTTGTGGACCCGAGACCGTCGACGGTCGAGGGTCCACAAAACACACTGCTTTCCCGAGGTCTCAGTAAATAAGTGTTTTATTATATATCAATAGTCAAAGAAACAACAAATTAAAGAATAAATGAACGTAAATACATGAAATATTTTATTGTTAAAACATCAAATTTAAACAATGGCTACACTGCAGTTACTTGAAGCGAAAGTTTTAATTACGTACTAGGAATGTCCAAAGGTCGCATCTTCACGTGACGGCGCACGTGAATTTTTTTGTTATTCGTCGGTCGATAACGTATTATCTCCCTCTCGCACAGTTGCGAGGGGAGACAGCCTAATTTCGTCACTCTCACGTGATATGCTCTCAACCAATAAAACACTAGAAAAATGCGACTTTGACTATTGATATATAATAAAACAGCTTATTACGTCAAATTTGACCAATCAACGTGTAGGATTTGTTATGTTCACTTGTGCCAAAATACTAACAATAATTATTGACTTGTATTTTTTTAAAAGTATTTAAAACTATTTGTTTAGGTGCATGGGAAATTGAAAGAAGAAAACTTTGTTACCGTTTTCCAGTACTGGACAAGAAAGGTATCAGTATAGTGTACAGTATACCAAGAGCTTGTCTTAACCGTTTAGGCGTAAGACTGCATCCATAGGTTTTAAATTATTCCTACAATAATATATTAATAACTTACTGACCGAGAGTGAGGGCAGTATGGGAAAATATCCAACCGAGGTCTTGCTGTATTGACCGAGCGATAGCGAGGTCAATACAGCAAGACTGCGAGGTTGGATAATTCCCCGTACTGCCCGAACGGTTGAGGTTAGTAAGTTTTTTATTATATGGCATTGTACGTTTGTAAAAAATAGAAGAAAAGGTCACGCGAGGGCAAAGTACAAAGTCCGAAACAGTTTGCAAAAAAAAAAACAATTGTAAAAAATGTTCTTTGGTTAGTAAAACTGCTGTACAGTACTTTTTATATAGAATACTAACACAGTTTGGATAGTATTTCAAGAAAAATACGAGGTATTTCGTCATTTAATCAAAGACAACAAATATGAAAACAATATTCAAGAAAATTACAAAAACAAGTACGTTTTTAGTTCGCTTCATCTCATATTTATGTCTCTTTTTATCTAACAAAAACAGAAATTTTCAGGGAAAAATTATAAATCTGTGGCTGTTTTAGTTGTATTTTTTATTTAGGATGATGTCAAATTCCTCCTGGCTATCTGCAAATAGAATTTGCAGCTTTTCGCATTGGCAAAACACAACTATTCCTGACTGCTTTTATAGTTATAAACATTGTAAAATTTACCTTCAACTTGTAATTTTGACTTTCGCTAACAAAAACGTATGGAGAAAGTTCTTTAACCACAGCAGTTGCTCCTCTTTTTATTTTAGGTTTATTTTTCTTCGTTTTGAATAGTTCTGAAAGACTTTTAGACACTTTTTGCTGTTTGAAACAATAATGAAACTCGGCTCTCGTCGCAGGGCAATAAAAATTACGTATTGCCCGTGGGCAATACGGGAAAATCCTGCCTCGTCAGCAGCCAATTGGCATGAGATGCTTAGCTTTACACAACGAGGCTTGTCAACGAGAACTTGTCGTTTTTAGTCGTACACATGCACGAGCGAATAAAATTTATCATGATTTAACTTTTTTCAAGAGTGAAAACTACTCGCGTGTTTACGATTTTTGCCCTGTTATTGATCGGCGATCGCGCACGTTATTTCCAGTCCTGGAACCCATTAGTGATATCATACTTTGATATTCCATAGTGCGTCTCAACGCTTAAGGCTCTGATTATTGTGGACGTACAAAACGACTTTATCAGTGGGTCGCTCAGACTGGATCGTTGTCCCGCTAAGGAAGATGCAGAAGAGGTCGTTCCTGTCATTAACCAATTAATTCAAGATGGCTCATTTGGTGTACTGGCATACACACACGACTGGCATCCGGCGGATCACTGCTCGTATCTCTCAAACATTAAACATCACTTAACATCCGTGTATTCATCAGTGAATATTGAAGAACTGAACGTGTTTGATATAGTTACCTTAACCAAGCCTTTTGAATTGAAACAAGTGATGTGGCCAGATCATTGTTTGCAAAATAGCTGGGGAGCTGAGTTGCATAAAGATTTGAGGGCAAGTTTATTATTTTGCAGTTTATTGTATGGGCTGTATATACGTATCTTATGCGAGCCTTTCTCACGAAGGCCAAATTCGCCATTTTGAGGGTACTTTTTTTAAAACGACGTGAAAAATCTAAGCGATGTGAAAACATTTTTTCAAAATTTAACTGTAAATTAACTTATGATGATCATACTCACAATTATAGTTATACAAATCCCGTATTCACTTGCGTATACAATCTCAGATTTGGAAAAGGCAGTACCCCAAAAATGGGGGCGTGAGAAAGGCTAAATTAGTAAGTGTGAGTATAATCATCATAATTTATTCTTATACTAGAAATACATGCATGATGCAACAACCCCTCACCTATATTTTCCTAACGATCATTTTTAATTTTTTTATTTCTTTTGTACAATATGGCAAAAACCTGAAAGATTAGTACTTTAACTGTGTCTATACAAGAATCAATTTCCGAAATATATACCATTAGAAACCATTACCACTATGCCTGGGAAGATTTTTTCCTTAATTTTTTTTCTGGGAATAAATTTTTGGTTTTGTCTCCCCCAACCCCTTCCCCATCACTTTTCTAATGGTCCGTCCCTAAGTATGTTATTTTGCATTTTGTGTGCTTTATTTAATGAAAAATTTAATCTGAAACGCTTCGTATAGAATGTTTAGAAATGTCATTCAACTAAACTGCTTTTATTCACCTGAGTACATTACACCAACACAGCAAATATCAAAACTTTTTTTCTTAATAAAACAAAATTAGTTCAAAATTCAAATTATTGAATAATTTCAGTTCGGTATTGAAATTAATTTGCTTCTTAAACTAAACGGGCAATTTACGAAACTTACAGCTACTGTACATTGAAAAGGAAAGCAGTGCATGTTTAAAGCAACAAAATTCACAAACATTAAAAATAAATATTCAAAGCAAACTTTCCCTATATTTTACGATTCCCCACAGTATATCATTCTCATTTCTTCAAAGCGAAATTGCTTCAAAGCTCATTGTATGAAACGATTTTCTAAATACATGTTTTTGAAAATTAAAATTTTTCTTATCCCACTCCTGGCAAACAGCCATATTTTTGAGATCAGTGAGGAGGTCCACCCATACACCATGACACCATGCACTTTATAGACTTCGCTGCCTAATGCTTTCCTTTCCCCGGGTGTAAATAGGCGAGCTGAATCAGTACCCTCAACCCGGGCTTACCGTTGGAAAATTCAACGCGACGTTTGAGAAGTTAAATCATATATACCGTCGAAAGTCGGATATTATTAATAGCGATTTTGAAACACCCCAAAGTAATTAATTGTCAATCATACATTCAAATATAGAAACCTGACGTTGATAACGATATCGTGGTGTATAAAGGACAGTCCTCAGATGTCGACAGTTATTCAGCATTCTTTGACAATGGCAAATGTCATCAAACAGATCTCTTTCTCAAGTTGTTGAAACGGGGCGTTACTGATGCGTACATGGTTGGTTTAGCGTTTGATGTTTGCGTAGCTTATTCTGCAATTGACGCAGCTCATCTTGGCTTTAACACTGTTGTTATCGAAGATGCTTGCCGAGGAGTTGCTTTGAAATCGAAAGAGGAGATGAAAAGGAAATTTGCTGAGCTTGACATTGAACTTTCGCAGATTTCAGATATCATTAAGAGTTAAGATTAAGGAAAACTTACTAGTGCACTAGATTTTGTAGCTTCACGTTGCGCAACCTTGTGCCCAGAATGTGTATAAAAGTATAGCCGTGTTATTTGTGGTAATGTGTGGGTCCTGATTTTGGACAGTAAAAGAACTGTTGTTAATGAAGAGATGATAATGGCGATATTGTATACATGAGATAGGTAGGGAAATAGTTGGGAATGGGAATGTTAAACCGCTGCTGTAAATTTGTTAGGTTGAAGATTTGCAACTTGAAAGTTGAAGGAATCCCTAACACGCATGGCCTATTATAGACCCAACAACGTTTAGTTGACAGGCATCATTCCTTGAATTGAAAACCATGGAAAGCTAAGACACTACTGTATGTTGAAGCACAGATTTGACACACAAAAACTTGGTTGGTGTCCAGAAAATTTTAATCTGCTGGTTGTGTTCTCATGCATGAAGAAAATTATTTTCTTCGGCCCTGTTGTATAACAACAAGGCAATATTGTAAATTAAAGAGAGTACAAAAAGCTGATTTCTCCGTAGTCGATCGCTCGGCGTTGATTGGTGGGGTTGCAACAGTTCTGCCAAGTTCTAGAAATTTTGTTTAGTGCATTACCATTAGGTCATGTTGTTCTGTTAAGAACATCCCTGCATGGATCAGTGCGCGAACTATGTTCAGTCACATTCTCACTTCAGGTTAATTATTTAGCGTAAGGGATTTTTCCAGTCCGCCATGTTCTTAGCAAGTGCCCTAAGGAGAGGCCGTCACACCCTGAGAACATAATTATTAAAATTTAATGTTCCATGAGGGTGTGGATGCCTCTCTTTAGGGCACTTGCTAAGAACATGGCCGCCAGATAGTCGCAGCAAAAACGTTTTTTTCACAGAAGTGAGACCTGTGTATGTAATTACTCAGAGTTGTTAGTAAATTCTAGGACATTTGGCAACAATGCAGCCTGCATATACGGCTATTGTCCATGCACGTGCCACAAATAACCAAGCTACTTTCTCACACATGGAAGTTACTCTGGGTAAGAAGTTGGCCGTAATTTGACGCTTGCTCATTACAATGTATATAATTATTAAAGAAATACCAAGGCTAATTGAACGAAACCATGCATGATCATGGTAGTATACTGTAGGTTATGCTATTAAGTATAGTTATACTATACTAATAAGTAATAACATAGTTTTGTTTTCCCGAGAGTCTCGATGTTTCCCGAGACGAAGTTATATAGCAACGAAAGGAAAATCAACAACATTCGTAATTTCATAGAACAATTGTATTTCATGACAAGAACTCTATTGTATAAACGAGTTTTAAATTAAAAGAACTATACTTACACGGTTTCAGCAGCGTATTTTGTTGCCTGTTGTGTATTTTTCTTCTCTTTTATATCTCTTTATTTTAACACAAACTTGGAAAATCGTAGTTTATAAACTTGCAAGTTTTGCCGCTATTTTGTTTATTTATATGTACGTAGCCGGTCGGAGCGGGCAACAGTTTTTTACTTGTTGCCCAGCTGAATGCATTGCATTTATCTAAAGCCACGTGACCGCAAATCAGCCAATCACATTTGGTCTTCCCCTAGCTATATAACAATGGTTAATATTGTTTTTCAGGCATCGTGCATAAAGGGCAAAGCCATGCAACGCCCATGCATGCACTCTTACGAAAAGTTCACATATGATTTCACATGTGAAACGTAAATATTGAAATTGGAATTTCACATGTGAAAATTTCATATATGTGCAATCAAATCACATGCATGTGAAATCCTTAATTCACATGTGAAAATTTTATATGTGAAATCAAATCACATGTGAAATCCTTAATTCACATGTGAAAATTTCATATATGTGAAATCAAATCACATGTGAAATCCTTAAATTAATTTACATGTGAAAATTTCATTATTATGTGAAAGCAAATCACATGTGAAATCCTTAATTCACATGTGAATATTTTATATGTGAAATCAAATCACCTGTGAAATCCTTATTTCACATGTGAAATTTCATATGTGAAATCAAATCGCATGTGAAATCCTTAATTCACATGTGAAATTTCATAGCCTATGTGAAATCAAATCACATGTGAAATCCCTAATTCACAGTTGAAAATTTCATATGTGAAATCAAAATCACATGTGAAATCCTCATTTCACGTATGAAATATCCGTGTGAAATCAAATCACATCTGAAATCCCTAATTCACATCTGTGAAATTTCAATATATAAAATGGACCCGTATGATATCCTTAATTTAATTCACATGGGAACAATGAGACAATTTATTTTTTTTCATGCAGTTTTTTTTGTGCGTATCCTCATTCGTCCCATGAACCCAAATTTCTGAATAATTTCATTATTTTCAAAATGATTCTGTTAGTATAGGTAATATATTAGGATGGTTTCGAGTGCAATTTGGATAAAACATGCACGGGTGAGTTTTCAAACAGCATCAAAATATGTAGAAATACAGACGAAGCGCTACCAGGAATATTGGAATAATCATAGAAATACGAACGAAGCTCGGGAATAGACATACTTTGAATTAAAAATACATTCATTAATAATATTCCGACGACGAAGTCCGAGAACGTGTTTTTGTGTATTAATTAGCATCAATTAGGTTCAAAAATTATTTGAGATCTTTGAAAACTCACGAGTGCTTATTTTATTCAAATTTCACGAGAAACCATCCTATTGTCGTACGTTAAAATAATATACATAAAAATGTTCGAGACAGTTGTAGTTTTAACGTACGTTTATACTAGACCGAACCGTCCACTGACAAAGTTTTCCTGCTTTGTTATATCACATTGTACAACGCTAACGGCTTGAAAATTTCACTCAAATATGTAAGTTTTGGTAGTGTTGTTTTACAAGGTAAAGTCTTTTTCAACTCAACTTTCATTTCTGTAGCGCGGCGGCCATCTTTGTTTTGTTTTGAAGCAATCTGTGACCGATATTTGAGAACTGCTTTAAGCTGATTGGTTGATTTTAGATCCAATTGTTTTTTCCCAGCAATCAGATCAGTTTGTTACAGACTTTTGCACTCAGAATGTTGCACTCATGCTGTTTGAGATTAACTGCAATCAACCATGTGCAATCATACAGTCGAGTAATACTATTTTTATGTATATTATTAGTTACACGAGCAACAAAATTGCTGCAACTTGCAACAAAATATAATTTCTACGCATGTTTAAATTGAAAATGTTTACCTATAAATTACAAGTCACAAGGCAACATATGTCGACATTTCTACATAACATGCGTTGAAATCAGATTTTGTTGCAAGTTGCAGCAATTTTGTTGCTCGTGTAACTCCACCTTAAAACAATTGTGTTTGAAAGCATTGATAAAGCCTTTTTCGTGCCAAAGCGACAACTATTAGTTATGTGGTTTTAGAGCCTTTTCCGTTTCTACTCCAACTTTGAGAAAGTCGCTGCCAGACAATATCAGAAATTGCAATAATTTTACAGTTTTATAATGCTGTTAACGTATGGCATTGTTTCATGATATGGCGTGTTCAGTCGAGTTATTGAGCACGCAGGATGTTAGGAGAGCATGAAAATACGTAAGAGTTAATCTCTGTTGAACAATTTCCCAACTTCCCAAGAGTATAAAATTTGCAAAACGACGCTGCATGCATGGGTAATTCTCTAATATGCCAACATGCACAAGACTTTACCATGCAGGGTTGCAGTTCGCATGCAGCTAACTTCTGTCATATTGCAAGTAATCAGGCCGCTCTCCATGCATTAACCCAGTCAGAACGGTCAAATTGTTGAATGGAACACAACAAAACTTTGAGCTTCGGACCTATCTGACCGGAAATTTAGATAGAATTAGAATGAGGTCCATTTTCGCCAGATATTTGAGAATCATAGACCAGATCCTTCCATTGATACAGAGACAAAAATTTGGGTCTGACCGGTCAGGCCATTAAATGGAAAACGCCCCAGGTTACCGTAGGTTCCAACATCTGACACCTATATGCTTGCATGTACTTGCGTCTGTGCTGCCAGTCGATCAACAGCCAACAGCAATAAGTTTGCGAACTCTTCTATATTAATAACCTGAATTTTCAATTAGCCCGTCATTTAAATGAAGCCCGTTTATTTGCCGATCATGCAGGCGTTTTACAATTTACATAATAATTATAAACCTTGGTCCCCTACTGACAAGCATAAAGTACATATTAATATTGCAAATTTCATTGTCTATATATAATCTGCATTTGCAGTCACGATTTTATTATAAAATTTCGGTAATTTTGCATTTAAGAAGACCTTTGCAGCATGCAGTATTGATTGTTCCACGATCCCGCCAGATAGGTTTTAATAAGTAGATGAAGAGGGGTCGAAACCGTAAAAAGGTTAAACCAATCATGTGTTATACCCACCTGTTGTTCGGCATAATATAAATGGAAATTATCCATTTTGCATGCATTGTGCTTTCTATAAATATAATATATATAGACCTACAACCTAATATCAGAGCTATATACAAATAGCAAAACTTTACAAAGACAAAATACACTAAACGGAAAAGCGAAAGGTACGTTACTTGAGTATTTCTTAGCTGATTGTATATTCGTTCGTTTTTTACAGACGATCGAGTTAAAGCTGGTTTACCCTATCAAAGTTTCTGTGATCACAGTAGGAATTTTGAATAGGTAAATTCTGGGTTTTGTAAGAATGACTCAGTGTTTAACATTGATTCAATTTCCCCAAACATTTCTTACAAAACCTTCAAAATTTAGAACTTACCGCTTGGGCAAAATTCCTACTGTGATAACAGAAACTTTGGTAGTGTAGACAAACTTAAGCGAGAATTAACGTCCACTTCGTCGCGCGCTTTATTATTATAGAACATGCAGCTAAGCGTGTTAAAATTTATCTTGTAAAGCGATTTCACCAACACAATTTTCCAGAACGGTTTTCATAAAGTAGACACGCATTAAAATTATTTAATAGCTTATAGTCACTTTAAATTCCTTTCGTCGACCTACATGCAGCATTGATCAGCCAGTTTAGTTGGCAAGCTGCTCCAATATTTACATTCCATGATTCACATGTCGTTATTCATGCAAGTTTGGATGAATAATTTAAAACATTATTACAGATATCATCAAGGAAGAAGACAATACTGAAAATGAATGTATCTTCCACTTCCTAGGTCATATTAACGATGGGGCTGTACGTATTGGTGGCAGTGTTTCCATGTTGGCTGTGCAGCGCTATGTCGTCGGGAAGTTGCCCTTCCGATGTGCGTAGTCTTCATTACTTTCCTAAATATGTTGGAACTAACTGTCAATTTAACTGGACAAACCGTGCGGCAATGATCCAGAAAGTCCGCGACCGAATGAAACACCGACATAAGCTGTTTCTACGTTTCAACGCTCCTGTATTTCACCTTGATTCGGATTGGACATGGAAACAATCGCCAGCTGAATTCGATACGTGGGTATGGGTCGCTGTAACGCACGAGTACATGCTACATTTTCCGCATAATTTCAATGTTTTATCCCTTGGAACGATGGGAATTATCACGAACAACTTTTGGGGTCCTGGTGGCGAGGGAGAAATTCACGGTTACTGCTACAAGAGTTGTCTGGAGTTGGGAAAAACAACCACGCCTCGTTGTACGTTAACGTGGAAAGATCTATCGGAATTCATGTCTAATGTAACTGCTGAGGGAAAAACTGAGTGGAACTATGTATGTCGTCAGGTAATATATGTCACGATTTTGAAGTCGTCTACAGTTCATATTTTATAAATGCTCATTTTTATGAAATATTTCATTTATACCATTTCTGCAGATTTTTAAAATGATATTTAGGATTCCCCGTAAATTTAGGGAGGTTTAGTAACGGTTTATGTCCAATTTTACAGAGTATTATTATTATTATTATTATTATTAGTAATAAATATCATTTGTTCATGCAGAAGACCAATCAATTTGAATAAAAATTCCAGAAAAAAACATGGTGTGACCCGGATCAGTTATGCTTCAATTGTTCGTTGCATTTTTTACCGTACCCAACTAATCAAAATATTTTCCCCTGCTAAAGTTCCGACGAGCTAGGGGGAAGGGGAGGGCAGAATTTTTCGACATATATTTCTTGCTTTTCAATTTATTTCCCCTCCTTCTCTTTGCCCAACTTACGTTTAAAGTTTTCCAAACTTCAATTTTTTCTGTGGGGGGGAGGGCGCCGCTGCGCCCATCTCGTACGCTTATGATTTCCAAAACATTTGAAGATGAGTAATCATTAAGAATTATTCATGTTGTTTCAAATCGTTCGCACCATTCATGCAAAGTCATAACAGATTTGTGTGTCTTCGTTGATGCATATGCATGCGAAGCCATAATCTGGATGTAGCTCTGTTTCTATCAATTCTTTTCTGGATGCCAGTAGAGTTATCAACATTGAACTTCAAAAGTGAACAGAAAACTACCAAACTGGGTATCGAATTATTTCTCAGCAGGAATACATTTAAATAGAACTCAGATGCTAAATATATAACAAAACAGAATATGAAACCTGACCGATTTAGTAACAAATGCATGCAATAGAACAGATATCTTCCGCTTTCTTTCGTGTGCAATGTCTATAGATACATGTTGTTCAATTTACTTCAATTGATATATTTAAGTTTGGAAGAAGTAAGACTTTTCAAACTAGTCATTCTACATTCGTATTTTCCATTTGGTAACATCTCGTCTTGGCGCGATTCACCTATTACCAAATAATTATGACATCACCTCTAAGACGACGTTCACAATAAGGTTTCCAAACGAGCGAGATGAAGACGTGCCGCTTGGCGGCTTCGTGTGAACAGGGGCACCGTCTTTATTTTTCTCTACTTTAGCGTCTTTTATTATATTTTTACTTGAGCACTTTTCTATTATTTTTCAATTTTTTTCACTCTTTGAGCTCGTTTTGCGAAACCGTATCAAAACGGCCTAGTGTGCACAGACATAGAACATGCCGTCCTGACGGAACGCAACCTCGGACTTTCGCAAGAAATCGACCATGAATGGACCCTAAAATCTTTTATGCTTAAGAATTGCAAAGTGGATTTCTTAGGAAATTCCGAGGTTGCGTTTTTTTATACACCCTGTATAGTGTATTTCTTCACGTGTATGTTTTTCGTGCAGGTGAACTATGACGTTTCTGATGTTGTACTGGATACGAACGCTGCCATACCAGATTTGCTCTATTATTGGCGTTTCCTTTCTCAACTTTGTACCAACAGACCATACTTTGGGAAAGGAGTGAAGAAGGATGACTTTATACATTACAACTGTTTCAAGAAAAATGGCGAGTTGGAAAGGAAGGAGCTGTTAATGAATTACTTTGTGATAATGATCATAGCAATTCTACTCTGGTTATACTCCCCACTCCTTATTTACTATTTCCCGAGTTCTGAACCAACTTGGTTAAACTACCCCGTGGGTTTAACTCATACAGAATTTCATTGTACTCATAAAAGTCCAGTCTATTTTGGAAATCTTGTGCGATGCCTTTTGGGCTTTTATATTGGAAAGGATGAGATTGGGAAATCGCGTGTTCGACGGCTGTTGTTCGTCAGCTGTACATTTGCATTATCATTTCGCCTGTTCTTTACGGATTATTGCAGTGTTTTTCTCTGCTTCATAATTGTATGCCTTCTTGTAGCGGTGATTCCAGATTTTTGGAGCGTTCATCTTACCAGCCAACAACCGACGCATTTTATGAATTTATTTAAATACCCTGAAGGAAGTTTTCGCAAAAATACAAAAAAGAAGGAATACCAACTACTAGCCCATTTTATGAAGGAACGTCTTTGCCTTGTGTTGGACTTGCAGTTTTTGAAAATGCTACTGACCCAGAGCTGGAGATCGCTTCTTTTCGCAGACACGTGGACCCAGCTTTTCACAAACTCTCTTTGGAATATCCATAAGATTATCATATCTGCCTGCGCAAGTCTAGTTATATTTGTATGTTTGATAACCAGCCTAGTGGTTTATCATTTCGCACCGGCATTTTACTTCTACAAGCAACTTTTCTTTGCAGTCACCATCGCAACATCCGAGAATCTCTTGCCAGGTTTGCTTGGCTTTGACTCACTCGGTTACTATGGTTACTGTGCAATTATAATTGCAACCCTTGCGTGTAATTTCCTCCTTATCATCTATTTCATGGTCGCGATGATGTTTGTATGTTATCTTGTTGCGGAGGTGACAATGTTTACTTATATTGGTGCAGTCCTTGACCCCTCTATGGCATTCAAGTATATCTCGCTTGTGGGCGCCGTGTCTTTCGTTCTTTACAATCTTACCAGAAACATGAGGGAAAATTATGATAATCTGCGTGACCAGATAGTCGAAATACTAGAAAAGACAGACCATCTTTCACAGCTGAATAAGGAGTTTAAAATAAGTCCTGAAGATACATTCGAGCGAAAGGAGGAACCCGATGGCACGGTAAAAACACTTTTGGAAATTACTGGTAAGCCGTCGAAAGTTGTTCTGCACCATGATCACTATGGTACCTATTTATCAAGACCCATGCTTGACTTTTGTATTGAGGAATGCGATCCACTTCGAAGAAAGGTGTTATTCATGACTGTAAAAGTGCTTCTGATGACTTTTTATCTCTTGATCGCCATGTGGATAAAAAATGTCTTTCACAAGGAAAAAGAAGTGTCGTCGATCTTTTCCATAATACAAGGGATTGCCATTAATTTCATTCCCAATCTCCTTCAGTTTCTTGTGGATAAAAGTCGTTTCGGCAAGAAGGATTCTGGCGACCTGCACCGAGATGTTCACGAAGCAATTGTTGCTTTTGTTGAAAGACGGTAATACGTCTACATATTTTGCTTAGCTCTCAAGGAGAAATCATCTTATACTACATAAACTGCACTCTTATATTAGATAGGAAGTCGACGTCGAGAGCAATTAGTTGTTCTTCGTTTTTTCTTGTAAAAGTTTTACATTATTACCATACAAGAGCGAAAATTTAAACACTATAATATTATAGCCATAAAACATTTTGTTTTAGTTAGGCTGCAGCCACGTTTTCCACTCAAGGAGCACCAAGAAAAACTCCTGCAGTGTTTCGTCAATTCGACAATAGTTACCCTCTGCGGAATTTGAAGTTCCATTTTCTGCATTTTGGGAGTCATGACATTTGACAAATTTTGCCCATCCTTCATAACATGCAGTATAACAACAACACTAAATCACAAGGACAGCCCAAAACACTTGTAATATTAATTATAATAATTATTCGTTATGCTTTTATCGGCCAATCCAGGAGCTGACATCGATCACGAGAACGCCCTTGTAAATTTGGTACAGAATACCAATAAGACCTTTAAGGATTCTTTATTAAAAGATACAGAACACAATAGTATTATAATAATAGTATTATTATTATAATAGTATTCCGTGTCAAATGAGGATACAGAATATTAATATACAGAATATTGGTATTTATGAATGATTCAAAATGCTCTGTTATTGCAACAACACCCAAACTTATTTGTAGTTATTTCAATTTCAACACAAAAACAAATTTTAATGAAAAACCTCCGCCTTTCGTCAAACTCTCTTCTCCATTCGCGTGCATAAGATGTCTGTTGAGACCACGTTTAATATGCATTGTATAGATATGTTGGTGGATGCCACTCTCAAGAATGATTCACACCTTCACCAACAAACTTCGTTAGCTAAATGTTCTGGGATACAGCAATTTTCGCCATCAAGTACTTATTGTCTTCTATAACCTTTTTTGCAGTTGAAGCCGAATATTCATTCTTCTAATATATTTGTACCCTTTCTTGTATATTTGGAATACACGTGATTCAAATCATATCGCTTCTCCCTCTTTACCTTTTGAATTTCGAAAACAAGATTTGAATCCCTTCCGAAAATTTGAATTTCACATATAATGTAAATTTCGTATATGATATATATTATGATCTCACATATCAATTTTCCATATGCGAAATCAAATCAAATGTGAAATTTCCATATGCGAAAGTTAAACATATGGGAATTTCTATTTGAAATCAAAACACATACAAAATCCTTTACTATATTCTAAATAAAATCCTTAGTTAACCTCATATGTAAAGGAATTAAGACGGATTTGTTTCTACGACATTTAATTTGGAATATTTATGTTAACAATATAAAACGTAGCAGATGACTCGGGTAGTGCGTATACCTTCGCTAGTGAATTAGGTTATTTATATCATGCATAAATTTTATAATCATGTATCCAATTTTCATCCAAATTTAAGTTAACCAAAATGTGATAAATTTGCCCTTTGGCAATGTCAATTAGTCCCATAAATTGTTTAGTTAATACGTTTCTAATAAGTTATCATGCTGACAGACAAACACAGAGACAGACACACACACGTACACATACAAATTAACAACCTCGTTCCCAGGCTCTTGAGGTTGACAAATTAAATGCCTCGAAATTTTATTTTTTTTCTTCCTGTAATTGGTTTTAGACCTCTTTAGAAATTAGACGTCGTCAAATTTCTGTCGAACTTAGTTCGTTGAATTTAATGCTTCTAAATTTTACTGGTAGGAATTTCGAGGTCAATTTCAGCCAATAATGTGACGAATCCGTCGAATACTGTACTTCGAAAACGTCGCACTTAATGTTGCTGCGTAGAATACTTAACAATTATTTATCTAAGTGGAGGTGAATAGTGCAAGGATATTCGCCAAAACACGAATTTTGCATATATCACAATTCACAAAAACAAAAAAATGACCAAAACACAACGAAAATGTTTTTCAAACAAGTTGTGTTTCAGCTCCCGTAATAGTTAAAAACAAAACAGTATTTACACGCTTCTAGTAATTTATTCATTAAAAATTGTTTTAAAGAATACCTCTTACACATTATTTTGTCCGCAGGTGACTAGTGCAGGGATACCCGCAGCTGTGCAACCAATCAAATTGCGTGAAAAGCACTATCCACCTAGCGCGGAATACTGCTCAAATTCTGCAAAATAGCAGTTCTCTGAGAAGCCAATCAGATCTCTCTTTTAGTTATCTAACCCAAAGCCTAATTTTCAACGAGTGACCGAGTGAAAATGGTTCTGGGGACGAGAATGTATCCACCTCCCAAGTATATGTTAATACCATTTCAAACGATAATTCTCTCGAATAAAAAATTTAGCAACACCATGAAATTCAACAAATTAAACTCGACGGAAATTCGACGTCTAAAACAGGCCTAAAATCAGAGGTTTCTTGTGTATTATGCACCTTCTACATCATCTTTACGTCTTCCTCGAATTTCGTGCTGATTATGTTATCGTCGTCGGCGTGATCGCCTTGTTGATATAGTTGCTGATGCTGTTGTTATTGGTATCATTGTAGCTGGATTTTGTGTTGTTGTTGGCATTATAGGATGGGATCCAATTGGTACCACGCTTACAAATCGATTACAAGTACTCCAAAATACGGCAGCAAAGGTCATCTTAGGATATAGAAATGAGCATGGTCAGTTTGAAGCCGCTTTGTCTGAAATGCAATTGAAAACGTTAAAAGAACGTAGATTAATCTTTAGGGGCAAGTTTATGTACAAAATTGCTCATGCGCAAGCACCACCTGTTTTAACCGATATCTTTGAAGACTCATCTGCTTTTCAACATAATTACAATTTAAGAGACCATGATTTCAAGTTTTACTTACCAAAACCAAAAACAGAATACTTGAAAAATAGCATCCGGTATAGTGGAGCAAAACTCTGGAACAGCTTACCTTGCGAGTTAAGAAGCGCAAATTCACTAAATCTATTCAATTCGTTGATTTCTGATACTAGCCTGCAGTCTTAAATCTATTATTATATCTCATTTCTCTAACTGTATAATTTAATATATGTAAATGTAACTATTGTATATATTTTATCATCACGCCCCCTTGGAAATCAGCAAATGCTGAAGGGGTTAGCGTGTTCAATCTATCTAGGTTAACTAGGTATTAGTATAATTACATACTAGGTGATTATTGAAAATTCTCCACGCTGATTGGTTGAGGTTGAGGTGACTATATGACGCGATAATCACCTAAGCGATTTTCAAAATGGCGGCCGAAGCCGTTTTCTCAATTAAATGACGAAGAAATGAGTATTTTTTTAATTTTCTTCCAAATAATCACCTATGAAATTATACTAAAACAATTATTCACCTCAGGCTCGGTGACTCGGTGACTCGACTTCGTCTCGGTTTTTATTGAGGGTCCTGAAGGGG